TCCCTGCTCCCTGCAGACATCTAACAGCATGCTGTAAAAGTGGGGATGAGGGAAAGACCAAGAAGTGTGTCCTACCTTCACTTCCTTGGATGAAAAGCAAGATGCAGAAGCACCTAATAAATAAAATGCTAAATTTCAGAATGCTGAATTTCAGAGCCTATCACTGCACACTTGAACCACAGCCAATTGCAATAGTAGGTTATCATTGTGAGATCCGGTCTGGTGAACTGCTTGACTGTCTCCTGTTCCTACAAAATGAAAGCCAGGCCCTGTTGCCTGGATTTGCTTAAACTGTGCATTCTTTACACTCCTTGGATTTCTGCCCCAGTCAAGAGGAGTTTGGGAGGGCACAAGAATTTGCATGATCAGTTTTTAATCAACGAAAGTGACTTTTAAAAAGCATTCCAAAATCCTACTGCCTTCCTTTTTAGCAGTTTAGCAGAAAGACAAGGGGGTGCCTACACTGATTCATGCCTCAGCTTTCCATAAATTCCAGTGTGGCAACTATGCGTTTTTGGCACCATTTAATGCCTTTCTCCGATGTTTCCTATTTTTAACACTTAGCTGTTGAGTTCCATGGCAGCAGTCTTTGATAAATGCTGTCAACTCAGAACCAACTTTTTTCTTCCACTCCTCTGAAGGCTCATAAACCTACAGAGACCTGGGAAGCTGCCAAGAATGTGGCACTCAATTGTTCAGTAAACACACTCTCACCCAAAGGCAGTTAAATGTATGCTGGTCAACTCTCAATTCTCAAGCTACAAAGCCAAAACTCTGATTTAAATAAGTGTCTATGCCATATATTAATCAAGCAAAAAGATAACTGATTTGATTTTTTTTATAAAAAAAAAACAGCACATACAAACACTCCCTCTAAAAGGGGGGGGGGAGCTGATCAAATGCTACATAATTCTTCCATTCATTTGTTATCAGATCTGTCTTCTGAGACATGTTATAAAAGGAAACAATTAACATCTCACATACTTCAGTTTTACAACAGAAATCAAGTGATTAAAGGGAGAGGTGGGGCTTCCCTTTCAAACAGATTGGCCTTCCTCCAGATGCCTAAATCCTCTAAAGTAGTGTTTCTCAACCTGGGGGTCGGGACATATTTCCGATGGTCTTAGGAACCCCTCTGGCAGAGAAGGCTGAAGATCTCTCTGCCTATCCTTCTATTCCTTTTTGGAAACAGACAGCAAATCCTCCCACCAAAAGCTCTCCTCCTGCTGTGATTGGCCGGCCTCTCAGCCAAGGGGAGGGCTGTTTCTGAGACTCCAAGCGGGAGAGGAGAGAAGGCATGTGCTACGCATAGCAGTGTGGTCTGCATGCATGGGTTAGGGAGAACATGTGAGGCTGGAGGGAGCCTCATGCCAGCAAGTCCCCTCAAGGCAGGGAGAAAAGCGCCCGCGTGAGGTGGGACTGAGAGTGGTCCAGCATCATCAGACAGAGGAGCAGCAATAGAACCAGCTTAGGCATTTTGTAATGCTATTTATTAGAAAAAGTCAGTCTTTCCTTTTAGTTTTTTTTATTAATGCTCCCATTAGAAAATGCATAAGGATGTGGGTGAACTACAACTCCCAAAATCGTGGGTCAATCCTTCCCAAATCCCACCAGTATTCACAGTTGGCCATGTTGGACAAAATCAATCCCCCCCAACCCCACCAGTATTCAAATGTGGGCGTATCAGGTATTTGTGCCAAATTTGGTCCAGTGAATGAAAATACTTCCTGCATATCAGATATTTACACTAAGATTCATAACAGTAGCAAAATTACAGTTATGAAACAGCAACAAAAATAATTTTATGGTTGGGAGTCACCACAACATGAGGAACTGTATTAAGGAGTCACGGCATGTGAGGATTTAGCATGAGGTAGAGGTAGATAGATAGATCTCTAGCTTCTTGACCTCATAGGAAAGAGGAAGCAGCACTATCAAAGCAAAATAAGGAAGAGGGATTGAGGCTCAGAGGGCAGATGCCACAGAGGACATGTCCATTAAAATCACAGTGAGTCACCTGCGGCAAATGCCGGTCCATCCCTGCTTCAACCACTCCTCCTGGGAAAAGAAGCCATGAAGGGCAAAAGGGTCCATGCACCAGCCTGCTGGTATTCCCAGTAAATTTCCCAAAACGTCTTACCCTTTGGAATTATACCTTACCACACTGTGTGAATAGGGCCATTCTTTCAGCAATGACTACCAAAACAGTAATGACAGTAATGAATATTGCAAGTATGATAGAGGAGTGGCAGAAAGGAGTGCTGATTGTTTATGGCCTCATGGGAGAGATGGGCAGTAAGCCCATGATTTCCCATTTCTCTGTGGGAAAAATCTACAACAGTAGTAATTAATTATTCTGAAAATCTTTCAAAAGTACTTAAGAGATAGCCTAAGGGTTGGCACAGATTCTCTTTCTTTCTTTTTTTAACAGACACTAGTTTCTTGCTATTTGTATTAAATATACAGTAGGAATTCCCCCTGGGAATGGCATGCTACTTCCAGGGAAACTGCATGAGAAAAGGCATAGCTGTCCCCACAGAGGCAGGAATAGCTTTTTTCTGTACAATATCTGTGGAAACCTACTAGGGGTGTAGAAAAAAACATGGCTTTCTGCCTGGATGCATAGAAGCAGTCATATCACTTTTCTTCATTATGTCTACCCAGATGACACATCATTCTCTTCCATCCCTTTTGGGTAGGCACTTTTGGGTACAGGGAGAGAACTACTTGCATGTTACGGCAGCTCCACTGGCTGCCAGCCCGTTTCTGGGCTAAATACAAAGTGCTAGTTATTAGGTATAAAGCCCTAAATGGATTGGGCCCAGACTATCTGAAAAACCGTATCTCCGCATACAAACTAGCATGAGCACTGCGGTCCACACAGGAGGCCCTGCTCTCAGTCCCACCCCCATCTCAAGCACGATTGGTGAGAATGAGAGAGGGGGCCTTCTCTGCGGCCACTTCCCACCTCTGGAATGCCCTCTCTAAAGAACTAAAAATGGCCTCCTCTCTCCTCTCCTTCAAAAAGCTTTTAAAGACCCATTTGTGCAATATAGTTTACGGAGAGGAAGAGGATTAGCACATCTTATACAAATTCTCACCTTGACATCGGATGCTAGCCTCAGCCCGCCGATGTGATATACAGTACTATATTATGCTTTTAATGTATTATGCTTCAATTGGTTTGACTCCTTGTGTTTATTATGTTTATTTAGTCTAACCCTCTATTTTTGGTAGTTAATAACTTACATTGAGTCCATTTTATTTCATGTTGTTTGATTACTGTTTGTCTGTTTTTGGGCATTGAATATTTGCCCTTTTTTTTGGGGGGGGGGACCACCCTGAGTCCCTTTGGGGAGAGAGGGCACATTATAAATAATAATAATAATAATAATAATAATAATAATAATAATAATTATTATTATTATTATTATTATTACTACTACCACCATCACTTCTGTGGGGCATCCTATCTAGTAGTAATACTAATTAGGCAGGCAACTGTAAACGTAACATTACAAGAAAAGAAAAAAAAGAAGTATTAAGAGGGTTATCCCTTGGGCTACTTTGTCATGGAAATCAATAGCAGTGCAATTCTGAAATGGGAGCCTGACCAGTCTACAAAGGAAAGAGTAGGGGAGACCGTTCTAGAATATGAATTCCTCCTTTGTTGCAGCCACCGACGCAACTCAAATTTGTCTAGGAGAATTCTGATTCAGAGATCACAGTCTTACCCATCATACATATTGGTTCATTAAGCAGCTTAGAACCCACCAGGAACCAAAATACCTAGTATCTGTTGCTGTGTCTTGAAAGAACAGTGTGTCGCAGTTTCACAATTCATAGTCAAAACTGCTATCACAGGTTCATTATTACCACAGCACAAAACATACACAAGTGAGACCTCAGTGCAAAGTTCATGGTAGAACACTGTATTTGTGCCATTGCTCTAGCAAGTTAAAAAAAAACCCACAAACTAAGTTAAACTATCACTAGAAGAGCAAATATAGCAACTGCCATTCCCAGTAGAGGCTACAATTATTTTGTAACTGGCAATACTATATACGAATATTTCTTGCTTAGGAAAACTATTAGATTTATGGGGTCACCATAAATCAACAAGTGACATAAAAGCATTATGCATACACATGCACAAACAATGGATTGGTTGGCCACTGCAACATTTAGGTTACTGCATGGTACTTCTTCTCCTTTTTTTTTTTTTTAACAAATCATCTCCTTTAGTAATGTACTGCTCTATTTAATTATCCAGACAATTTCCCTTATGATGGAAACTCAATACCATTGATGCTAATTAAATTAAGCCACCACTGTAACAAGGCAATGCTCTAATGTACTCATCTCATAAAGATGGCTTGTTTAGTTTGATCTGGGGCGTTTTACTTCCTCTTTAATGAAAAAGGAAAATCAATATATAGAAATGGGAGAGACAGGGGGCACTAGAAAAGGGACCACAAAGACCATGATTTCATTTAAGACACCAGGTCAGCTCCTTGCTTTATGGAAAAGCCACTCTGAGGAAATGGAGAAAATGTTGGATCAGGGCTCCAGCCAACCCCAAACAGAGTCTATCTCTACATATTACTTTTGTTTCTGGGCAGATGGTAGAAGGGAATAGGTGACACCCCAAAGGAACAACCCGCAGGCTTCCGGTTGCTAATTCTATGTAGAGCACATATGGCAAACACAAGGCCTGTGGGCTAAATCCAGCCCACCACATTATTTTATGTGGCCTGCAAGGCTTTCAATGTTAGGGCAAAATGAAGGCAACCACAAGATTGATGTGGCCCTCAGTAAAAATGAGTTTGACACCCCTGATGTAAAGACATACAAAATGAAACATTTGGAAATGGGCAATAATTACAAATCCATTTTTTCATTCTCCAGAACTGATGATACCAAAATAGTGAAGCAATTTCCTCTTGGAACATATTAGCATTTCTTCATATTTTCTTTCTGTCTTGTATTGTTTTACATACCAAATCTGGCTTGAGTCTGAAGGCCAAAGGAAGTGCATAAAACATGGAATGCATAGTTGTTAGTACTGAAGAGCTCCACGACTGACGAACTTCCCGACTTCTAGGAATGCGATGGAGGGTGAACTAGGAAAAATAAGGAAAGAAATTGATTTACACAGAGAAATCAGTCTAATTACACCTGGTTTCATATCTTTTTTGTAGCTTTTCCAGCAAAACTCTTAATTTTTCCAAGAAGGAATAAACATGGGCAAAGCTCTGACTGGCTCCAGATTATTGTTTTGCATGGCCAACCCAATACATTCTTCTGCTGGATAAGAATAACACAGTGTTGCTCCCACCCATTCCATGTACAAAAAGCCCACTAGACTGCCAGCTGAATTTTTCTTTACGATTGGTGATGGGAGAGTGTCCACAACAATTCAAGGCAGCATGCTACCTTATCTGTATAAGGCAAGTTACATGGCACACATCTTTCTCCATCACTGTCTTGATGCCACCACCTAACAGCGCCAGCCCTATTATGTTGAATGGACTCTGCATTGCATCCTCATCCATATGCACACTTAACTACTAGTTTGGTACTGCACTTAAAGCAGGGCTTTCCAAAATGTGTGTAGTGTGTAGGTTTGTGGCGTGAACCTCTGAGTCTATGTGAAATACAGAATAAAATCATGTATTTTAAAAACTACAAATGAAAAGTTTTCATGAGATATGTTGTATCCCCATACATTTTGTTATTATAATTCATGTATGTGTCTGTATCTCTTATAAAGGGTTGATTTAATCCCCAGTGCAGTAGTAAAATTGAATTACTGTGTCACAAAATGATGCAAGTCTAAAAATGTGTCACAAACATTAAATGTTTAGAAAGCTCTGACTTATAGTCTCAAGGTCTAAGCCTGAGATCAAAGGAGGTACACAATTAAGGAAAATGGGTAACACAAATCAGGTTTGTATTTAGCATTTTCCCTAGCAACCAAAAAGCAACAAGAATCTCAATGTGTTGTCGAAGGCTTTCATGGCCATAATCACTGGGTTGCTGTGAATTTTCTCGACTGTATGGTCATGTTCCAGAAGCATTCTCTCCTGACATTTTGCCCCCATCTATGGCAGGCATCCTCAAGAGGTTGTGAGGTATATTGGAAACTAGGTGAGGGAGCTTTATATATCTGTGGAAATGTTCAGGATAGGAGAAAGTACTCGTCTGTTGGAGACAAGTGTGGCTGTTGTAATTAATAACCTTAATTAGCATTTAATGGCCTTGAAGCTTCAAGGTCTGGCTGATTCCTGCCTGGGGAAATCTTTTGTTGGGACGTGTTAGCTGTCCCTGATTGTTTCTTCTCAGTAAATTCCTCTGTTTTCAGAATATTGTTCTTTATTTACTGTCCTGATTTTAGAGTTCTTTTTAATACTGGTAGCCAGATTTTGTTCATTTTCATGGTTTCCTCCTTTCTATTGAAATTGTCCACATGCTTGTGGATTTCAATGGCTTCTCTGTGTTGCCTGACATGGTGGTTGTTAGAGTGGTCCAGCATTTCTGTGTTCTCAAATAATATGCCGTGTCCAGATTGGTTCATCAAGTGTTCTGCAATGGCTGACTGTGGGGCTACAAAATGTACACCCATAATGTGCGCTTGGTTGCAGGACAGCATGAAAAGCATGTGATAAAAAGATTCACATAAAATCCAGCATCAGGCAAAAATGTACTGCTACGGATCACTGTATATCCCAGTGCTCCCCCAAAAATGAAAGTTAATTGCAGTTTGCTAGTGTAGACTGCTTCAGCACTTATCCTTATATTTAAATCCTGAAACAGCTGGTGGACACACAGGTGGCTAAATTGAAGCAGGAAAGGAAAGCAATTCCCATGCGATTTCTCTCTAACCATTCCTTTGTTCTCATTTCCTGTGTATTTCTGAAAAGAAACAGAGCTTGAAATTAGACAGTGGGCAGCAGCATGTTGCAGGCAAGTGACCCCAAAGGGAAACAAGGTTCTAGAGGGCAAACTAGGTGGCACCAGGAATGAGGGAGAGGAGAGGCACATCAGCACCGCAACTTTGGCAAAATGCTTATGCATCTTGGAGAGTCATTAGGGGAAAAATAGAACTTCTGCCAGATGTCCCACAGTACCTTCTGCAATGGCTTTCAATTCGAATTAACCAAACCTTTCAGGATGCCGTGGGACCATTTCCCGGGACTAATAGCTCTGTGTGTGGACTCACTTTGAGATACAAGGGTATTTAATCCCACTTCCTGTCTGCGACCCTTCTACACTGCCATATAAAAATCTAGATTATCTTCTTTGAACTGGATTATATGGCAATGTAGGTTCATATAAAATCTTCTTTGAACTGGATTTTATGAACCTATAATGCCATATAATCCAGTTCAAAACAGATAATGTGGATTATATACTTTGATAATCTGAATTATATGGCAGTGTAGAAGGGGCCTGGAGGTGACCTGATGGAGCACTCCAACAGTCTTTTTATTTGCCTAGTTAAGCTTTTGTGTTCCTGATGGAGTAAGGCAAGAGGTGGCAACCTGTAGCCCACAGGGAGCCTGTTTCTGCCATTTTTGTAAGCCCAGCTGGTTGTATTTGCCTCTGAAATTCACTTCTTGGGTCTAGTGGGGCACTACAATGGTGCTCCCTGTCAAACTTCAATAGCACTGCAATAGTGCTCACTGTTAAACTTCAACGCTAGCAAGTCTTTTGGGAGTGAAGTCCTGAAAGTGGCCTTTTTGTGGAGTGACAGATGATTGCTCTTCAGTTCTGTTGCTCTTCTGTAAGCCTACTTTGGATTTACTTCCTTTTGGCTTTCTAAAGCTGGATCTACACTGCCCTATATCCCAGAAACTGATCACAGATTATCTGTTTATAGCAGATTATCTGGCAATGTAGACTCATAAAATCCCATTCAAATCAGATAATTTGGAATCCGATCCTGGGATATAGGGCAGTGTAGCTCCAGTTTACAAGGGTAGCATTCTGTGTTGCTTGGCTGACCATGAAGGACAAGGCTTTGCTACTCACACATCTGTGGCCAGCATGGAAATGAAGGTCATCACCCTCTTAAGGGGGCAGTAGAAAAAAATCTATTGTGCAATCACATTTTAAAGATTTTTTTTCAAGGCTGGAGCTGATGGAACATTACAATGAAACTACTTAGGAAACATAAATAGATGTTCTCTTGGTGTGTTCTTGAACAGGATATCGTATTCTCAGTTAATTGGAACTCAAGCAACTGGCAAAAAAGAAGAAATAATACTTTAAATAAAAATTAAAATCAAATCCATTTTTTCATATAGTAAATCAGTTTTATAATACAGTAAAATTGCGTTACATTAAATTGTCTTTGTATTAATTTGCTTTTAATTACTGTATTTCAATATTAATATCAAGTCATCAGAGTTTATAATATGATATAGTATGGGATATAGTATTCATTAGGCCTATTTTAATAGTAACTCTCAGGCACCCGGAAACTACATTATCTGGCACCTACCAATCTCCATGGGTGCCATTTTACTGTGGCCCTTTCTACACTGCCATATAATTCAGATTACCAATGCATGTAATCCACATTATCTGCTTTGATCTGGATTATGTGAATCTACACTGCCATATAATACAATTCAAAGCAGACAATCTGGATTTTATATGGCAGTGGAGATGGGGCCTGAGAGTCTACTGAAGCAGGCATTGCTCTGAACTATTATGTCAGTGCCCCATCTAGTGGACAACAAGATGAACTGTCAAAAGCAGATTAAACAAAGAGAGATCATGCTTTTAATAAAATAACAGGTTAACTCTGGACATTGCTTGAATTTAGTAATTTGATTTCTGTATCAAAGCTGAACTCATTTCGCATTCACATACAAGTCCACCCCTAATTTGCATCAAAATTCTGTTCTGTTCATTAGCCTAATCTAGGTAGCAGATTGTTCCTGTTGGGCAAGCTTGTTTTCTGCTGCCCTGTAGAATGGGGGTCCTTCTGCACAGCCCTATATCCCAGAATATCAAGCCAGAAAATTCCACAATATCTGCTTTGAACTGGGTTATCTGAGTCTACACTCAGATAATATGGGATTTTCTGTCTTGATATTCTGGGATATAGGGCTGTGTGGAAGGGCCCTAGGATGGCTTCAAATTACAGGAAGGGAGATTTCACCTGAACATTAGGAAGAACTTTCTAACTGTGAGAGCTGTTCAGCTGTGGAACTCTCTGCAAATCTCCAAAAAAGAAGCTGTCATGCGCAATGGGAAGTGGGACCACTATGAGTTTAGTGTGTTCAAATCTCCCCCAGAACCAGTTTACACATGTGATAACTAAATACACTGTCACAACCAAAATGGAAGAAGATATATATTGGCCCATAGTAGACTCTTGAAAAGAAAGGAACACAAAGTTAGATTTATAAAAGCCATGGAAAGAACAACTGGGCTCCTATTGGAGCCAAAACAACAAACTTTTTCCAGATGCACCAGTACAGAGACTTCTTGAGAAATCCAGTGCTCTCTGCTTTAAGAATGAACCTGTTGCTTCACAAAGGCCAAAGGCACCCTGAATTTCAATGAGTTATTTGATTATAGTTGCAATTTTTTGAGTTATATGTGCTATGTTTTGTGTTTACCTTGTTTATTTTATTGTTATTGAGTTATTTTTGACAGTGTCTGCATTTATTATTATTTATTTCTATTTTCTTTGTTGCAAGCAGCTCCGAGTCCCTTCGGGGAGTGGGATGTAAATAAAGCATCATCATCATCATCATCATCATCATCACCATCACCACCACCACCACCACCACCACCACCATCATCATCATCATCACTGTGCAGCTGTAAATGGAGTTTAAATTTCACTGTCTTTTGTCTCAGTCCCTACATGATCAAGAGGGGAGTGTCCTCTGCCTGTATTGACCTATTTCTGCACCAACTGAACTAAAATCAAAACAACATCTGATCTGATGACACTAACAATCTCACTTTTATTATCTGGTGTGAATTTTTAACATCTTTTTCCTGATGAATAAGCAATGGGGCTTGAATAACTTGCATGACATATTTTGTATATTTCGGTTGGCCAATAAAAGTATTGCTCTTTTGTGGACTTTGTATTTTA